GTGGTGGAGGAGGAGGAGGAGGACGCCGAGGAGGAGGAGGAGCACCTGTAAGGACAGTCCGTTCCCTCCCTTGCAACGATCGGCGATGACGATGCTGCGGGGACGGAAGCGAGTGGCGGCAGGATAGTCGCAGAGGGTGACGGCATCGTTGGCGCTGCAGCGAGCGAAGAGAGGGAGAACGTTGCTGCGGAACAAGTCAAGGAGGACACGAGGAGGAGCGAGAAGAGAGAGGGGAGGAGCGAGAAGAGAGAGGGGAGGGAAGGAGAGCGGCAGAGAGTGGGAAAAAGGGGACAAAGGAGAGGAGAATTCGGAAGGTAAGTGGCAGAGAAGACGCTGCGACGGAGCACAAGGAGGAGGAGGAGCAGGTCGAGGAGGAGGACGAGGAGGATAAGGAAGAGAAGGAAGTACATAAGCGCATGACTGGCGGCATGGAGTCCTCCTCGGAGATGTTCTTCCCACGGCATGGCGGAGCCTCGAGCAGAGCGCTTGACCATCTGCTGAACCTCCTCGGGAACTGCGATCCATGCAGCAAAAGTCTTCATCCATACCTGCTCGCGCTCTATCCGTCATCCCGAATGTCGCATCGTGTTCTTCGCATCATCTCCAACACCACAAACTCCATCTCCATCTCCATCTCCATCTCCATCTCCATCTCCATCTCCATCTCCATCTCCATCTCCATCTCCATCTCCATCTCCATCTCCATCTCCATCTCCATCAACTATCATCATCTCAATCATGGCCATCATCATCGTCCTCCTCACCCTCCCTCCTCGTTCTCTCCCCTCCCATCGTCTCCGCTATCACCTGCGGCATCTGCAGGTCGACACTGTCGAGGAACTTGCCGCTGATTCGCTTCAACTTTGTGTATCCAAGGAAGGACTTGATGACGGTCGCCGGCCCGTAGTGAGGAGGAGCGATGAGAAGCTTTCTGCTGATGGATCAGACTGAGACGACGACGAGGAGGAGGAGGAGGAGGAGGAGGAGGAGCAGCAGCAGCAGCAGCAGCAGCAGCAGCAGCAGCAGCAGCAGCAGCAGCAGCAGCAGCAGCAGCAGCAGCAGCAGCAGCAGCAGCAGCAGCAGCAGCAGCAGCAGCAGCAGCAGCAGCAGGACGAGGAAACAAGAAGTGAGGAGGGGGAGAAGAGGGACGAGACGGAGAAAAGACAAGAAAGAACGAAAGAGGAGGAAAGGATGGAAGAGGATGGTGCGTAAGAAGAGGAGAAGGAGAAGGAAGCGAGAGCAAGAGAATGAGGGGAGCAGAGGATGAGCGACAGGGAGGAGAGGGAGAGGAAGAGCGACAGGGAGGAGAGGGAGAGGGAGAGGAGAGCAGGAGGAGAGGGGAGAGGACGAGGAGAGAAGAGGGGAAGGGAGAGGAAGAGAACCTCTCTTTCTTCTCTCTCAGAGCTTCGTCGACTTTCTTGAGCTGCAGTGGAGGATAAGCAAGAAGGGGAGCAGCCGTCTCGAGGTTTGACAAGTCGCGAACTGACGCAAGGTGAGCATGAGAGAAGGAGGGAGAAGGGAAGGAAAGAAATGAAGAGGAGGGAAGAAACAAGAGCAAGAAAGAAGAGCAGGGAGCATAGAGCAGAGCGGGGAGCAGGGAGCAGGGAGCAGGGAGCAGGGAGCAGGGAGCAGGGAGCCGAGAGCAGGGAGCAGGGAGCGGGGAGCAGGGAGCAGGGAGCGGGGAGCAGGGAGCAGGGAGCAGGGAGCAGGGAGCAGGGAGCAGGGAGCAGGGGACCTGAGGTGTAGTAGTCGAGCTTGACGGGCCCATGCGCCTCTGCCTCTCGCTTCTCAAAGTCCAACACGCGGATGATGAAAGTCTTTCCGTTGTTCATGTACGTGGCTCCTTCATAGATCTGCTTCCTGCATTAGGAGCCTCCTGCTGGCCTGCTCCCTGCTGGCCTGCTGGCCTGCTGCCTGCTGCCTGCTGCCTGCTGCCTGCTGCCTGCTGGCTTGCTACCTGCTGCCTGCTGCCTGCTGCCTGCTGGCCTGTGGCCTGCTCCTGCTGCCTGCTCCTGATCTGCTGCTGTTGCTCCTGCTCCACCTGTTGCTCTTCCTTTTGTTGTGCTCAGCCTCCTGCTCCTGCTCCTGCTCTCCCTCCTCCTCTCTCGCTCTCTTGCTCCCGCCCGTTCTTCTTGTCTTCAACTTGCTGTTTGTGTGTCTCGCTCCCTCCCCCCCTCTTACCTGATAGAAGGCCATCCATTCCTCAACCTCCTCTACCACCATCCTCTCGCTGTTGGGCAGACGAATCTAGAGCAGAGTCATTCTTCACAAACAAACCTGTTTTCCTTGACCACACTCCTCCTCTCCTCCTCTCCTCCTCTCCTCCTCTCCTCCTCTCCTCCCTCTCTCCCTCCCTCCATCTCTTACACTTCTGCATGATCTGTCCTTCTCCTCCTCTTCCTCCCTCCTCCCTCCCCTCACCAATATCTTCCATCGATGCTCATCAATACAGCGCAAGCTCACTTCCTTGGAGGGCTTGGGAGCCCCGCAGAAATTACACTCCTCGAGCATGGCACTTTCCTCTCCTCCTCCTCCCCCCCCCCCCAACACTGGCTGCAAGCATCCTATCTTGCGGTTTCCCTTTTCGATTAGCTGGAGCACGTTGTCCCGGTAGACAGCCGGCAGCTCCGCAAAGAGAGCCTCGTCCTCCTCCCTCTTCAGCGGCAGCTCAGAGGCCGCACAGAGCAGGTGAGGCTGCAGGATGTCAGGGTTGGCGAGGTTGAGCAGGGCAGGCTCGAGAGGGAGGGAGAAGAGCTGCTGGGGGTGGCGGAGGAAGAACTGGTCGATGGGAGAGTCCCATGCAATGTAGATGGACAGAGAGGTTTTCCTCCTCCTCCCAGCCCTTCCCGCCTGCTGCCACAGGGACGCGATGCTCCTTTGGAACCCCAAGTGCAGCGTCGCGTCCATGCTCCCCACGTCCACCCCGAGCTCGAGCGCGTTGGTGGCAGCAACCCCGCGGAGCCGGTCGCTGAAGAGCAGCTGCTCGATCTCCCTCCTCTGCTCGGGCGTGTACCCCCCTCTATAGGACATGACCGTCTCGCACAGATGCTGCTGCCCTGCTGCCTGCAGCGCCTCCTGCGCGTACTGCAGGACGAGCTCCGAGAGCTTCCTCGTGGTGCAGAAGGCGATGGTCCGCAGACCATGTCGCACGAGCTCGGCAAAGAGGTTCGCGACCTCCCCGATGGAGCTGACTCTCCTGGGCTCCAGCTCGTCCTTGGCAAACTCCTCCCACAGCCTGCCGATCTCGTGGGGACTCTTACCATGCTCGCTTGTCCCTCCTCCCATCATTCCTCCTTCTCCGCTTCCTCTCCCTCCCCCTAGAATCTCTCCTCCTCCTATCATGCCTCTTCCCCCCCCCTTCCCCATCTCATCGTTGCTCTCCACCGACCGGATCCGCCATGGCGTCTTGTCTGCCTCCCTACTCAGCTCCCCAGCTCGCACAGGAGGGTTCCAGAGCACAAAGCGCTTCGGTCCGCAGGGAGACCCGTCCTCGGAGACAACATGGAAGGAGTCAGCAGGCAGTCCTGTGAGCTGAGAGAGGAGGGAGGCAGGGGAGGCTATGGTGGCGGAGCAGCACAGGAACTGAGGAGAGGAGCGGTAGTGAGAGCAGATCCTCCTCAGGCGCCGGATGACCATGGCGACATGCATGCCGAAGGCACCATGGTACATGTGAGCCTCGTCGAGGACGATGTAGCGCAGGCAGGAGAGGAGGGGGACGTGCCGCTTGTGTCCGGGGAGGATGGTGACGTGAAGCATGTCAGGGTTGGTGAGGACGATGCTGGCCTCCCGCACGATACTCGCCCGGTCCTTCATGGGAGTGTCGCCATCGAGCACGGCGATCTTGCTGGGGCTCAGCCAGAGAGAAGTGAGCTTGCGGAGAGCACGGAGCTGATCCTGAGCGAGGGCCTTGGTGGGGTAGAGGAAGAGAGCGCGAGCAGGAGTGACGGAGTCTCGTCCTACCCCGAGGGGGTCGAGGACAGACTCGAGGACGGGGAGGTTGAAGCAGAGGGACTTGCCTGATGCCGTAGCTGTCGTGACAATGACGTTCATCCCATCCAGCGCAGCATCCACGGCCTCGGCCTGATGGCTGTAGAGGGAGGAGGAGGAGATTCCAACTGACTCGATCATCTCGTTGAGCTTCCTCTGCAGCACGTGCTTGCATGCCGCATGCCGGCTGCTCCTCTCGGGGACGTCGTGGACGTGTAGGATGCAGCCCGCAGCAGTCTCGTTGAGAGATCGGAGGTGGTCGAGGAACGAGTCCACCTCGAACTCGGCAGAGGAGGAGCATTGGAGGTGGCCGCTCAGGTCCTTCATGTCCACATGCCCTGCCCGCGCATCGGCGGCGAGGATGGAGGCTTGAGGAACGTCCTCTAGAGGCCTCCCCTCCTCCTTGAACCTCCGCACGTAGTCTTGCAGCACTCGCTCCATCTCCTCCAGTCGGATCGTGGAGTCTCGAAGCTGGGCAGAGAGCGATCGTTTGTTCCTTCCGCTCCTCTTGAAGCTCTTCCTCCCGTCTCCCTCCATCCCTTCTCCCTCCCCGACCCCATCCTCACCTCTGAGGCCTCGAGGAACCAGCAGCTCCACCGTAGCGAGCTCTTCCTTCTTGGACGAGGAGTCGATCGGACTGCGGACCACGAACATGTCGGGGCAGAGGAAGAGCATCTGCTGCAGAGTCTTCTTGTTGAGAATCCCTCCTGTAGCCTCCCCGTGCGAGCAGACTCTCTCCACCGTCATCGCCTCCAGGTGGTTCGATCGGATGAGCTCGTAGAGCTGGTTCAGAACCCGAAACGCATGCAGGATCTTGACGCAGGGCAACGGGAGCCCGCTGCTTCCTTCCTGCCATGCCTCCGCGTCGAAGCGATCCGCTATCGACAGGCTCCTCCTCTCTTCAGCCTTTCGTTTCTGCCTGCCATGCATGCTGTCTGCCGCCAGCGCCGCAGCTCTCAAGAGGGTCTCTGGGCTCACGGAATCTCCTCCTCCCCAGCCCGATCCCTCCGAACCTCCCGCCTGCTCCATGCTCCTGCCCTTCCTCTCTTTCATGAAGGCTACGAAGTAGTTGTTGCCTGACTGCATGCTTGCTCCGATGGAGTCGCCTTGTGCGCATTTCTTCCCGTCCTGTTGAGAAGGGTCAGTTCCGTGCGTCAAGGATCGAGGAGGACGGGGAGGAAACCTTGAGGAGCGCAGCACATTTGAGCGAAGGGAACCGAGAAGCAACGTTGGCGGTCAGAGCTGCGATGGTGCTGGCAGGATCCATCTCAAACAGGGCATCTTCTTCGCAGTTCTGAGCAGAGACGAAGATCTTCACTCTCACGGCAAGAGCCATGTCCTTGGATTCAACCCATGCATACTACACGTTGAACGATCATGGCTTCGTGTGCATGAAGGAGAGGGAGGAATGAAGAAGAGAGCAGAAGACCAGAGGAGGATGACAGAGAACGGCAGACCGCAAGGAGACGAGAGACGAGACTTGAACGAACGAGCGAGCAAGGAGATGAAAGGAAGAGGGTACCGAAGCAAGCAAGGGAGAAGCAACAAGAGGAGAGGAGGGAGGGTTGAGAGCGGAAGGGAAGGCAGGCAAGAGGATAGGATAGGGAGGAAGCAGAGGCAGGAGGCAAGATAACCAGATGAGGAACAGGCGCGAAAGGAGGACGGTGAGCTTTTATGTGGGATGTAACAGCACCCGTTGATTAGACCATGAAATAGGGGGTAGGGGTAATGATTTTGTAGGAAACTGGAGATGTACAAGAAACAACAAGTCAAGTCAAAGTGCTATCCCCTCCTCCCTTCCTTTCGATGCTGTCTTCCCGTCCTCTGTCTCCTCTTGCTACCTCATCCTCCTCATCCTCTTGTTGTCCTCTTATCCCTGCCTCTCCTCCACCACCTCTGCTCAACCTCCCCCATCACAACTACTTCTTGCCATCAGCATCTCGCTCTTCTCGTCTCCATGGATTGTCGATTTCGACACTGCCACTGTCTACATTCCCTCCTCGCAGCCCCCCCCCCATGAGTATTCTCTTCCTACTCGCTCCTCTGTTCCACCTTTTCTCTGTCCCCTGCTTCCCGTTCCTTCTTAATGCTTCCTTTCATAAGGATTGCTCGTAGGAAAGCACGACCAAGTATGCCACTGCCCGGTCCTGAATCTCTCCGGCTTCAACTCTCCAACTACTCCTCGCAAGTCATGTAAGGCGATCGCGAGGTAGTCGAGGAGGAGACGGGAGTTATCAGCACAGCACGTGACTGACATATTGACACAAGTGTGAAGCTACATTCACATGGTGGGAAAGAGTCAAGAAAGATGGAAAACGAGGAATGAGATCGGCAGCAGGTATCCCAGATGACAGTGAAGGAGAAGCTGCCAGAGGACAAGGCACATACTTCACTCAATCATGTGAGATGATTGTATATTCGTGCGCTGATATCGTGTTTGGATTGTGAGGCAAACTAGCAAAAGCAACTCAAATATTGAGCGCGGTTGAAGATTGAATGGAGAAGTTGAGAATAACGAAATATATTCAACAAACAAACATTTTTCAAGTCTCTCACAAACAGATCTTGAAAATTACATACAAAAGACTTGCCAGCATTACTGCACTACAGGGTCGACATACTTGGTAGCTTCGTACAAGTAGTCATCTTTGCCGCGGATGGGGCAGCCGATGTTGTGAAGCACGTCGTAGGATCCAGACATGTATCCCTTGAGAGTGAACGGACCGAGGTAGCCAATGTAGCTGTTTCCGGTCTTAGCATCTCCGACGTTGATTGACAGATAGGAGCGGCCATCTCCAACGAGGTTGCTGAGCCAGGTGATTCCGGCAATGTTTCCTACAGCCTCGAAGATGAGGACAGGCTCCTGCGAGATGCCGTTTCCACTGAAGTCGACGGCCCAGACCTTGGACTTGGAGTCGGCGACGAAGAGCATGTTGTGGTAGGAGGCGAAGTTGATGTAGATCGGGTCCTGGATCTTCTTGCAAGAGCCACCAGCGACAAAGTCCGGCTCGAAGGTCTTGAGACCGAGAGAGCAGACGGCCTTGGCCTTCTTCTTCTCATCAGAAGTGCACTTGGCTCCAGAGAGATCGCAGGTGGTGAGAGATCCAACGTCGAACTTGTAGATGGTACCGCAAGTCTGATCAGTACCTCCAAAGGCCGAGCTCTTCATGCTTCCAGCAAACGACACAAAGAATGCACCGAGAGCAGCCTCCTTGCCAGTGGCGCCCTTGTCGTCCATGTTGTAAGTCAAACCAGTGATTCCGCTCATTTCGGTGGCGCCAAGCATGCTTGCATAATCTTCGGGGAACAACCTGGAAGCAACTCCCTCCATACCAGCCTTGATCTTGCCCGAGGACTTGTAGTCATCGAATTTCAGGCCCTTCTTCATCTCATCCTTGACGGCAGTAGCATTGGTTTTGCCCATGTCGAGCCACTTCACGTCCTTGGAGCCCATCTTAGCAACATAGAGATGCCCGGACGTGAGATCCTTGGCATGATCGGAAACAAACATGAACAAGTACTTGTCGTTTGCCACGTAGAGGGTCTTCTTGTCAGGCATGGCATATGTGGCAGTGATTTTAGGGATCTGACCAACAGCATAGCGGTAGAGCACAGTCGCCTGGATGTTAATCTCCACCCTGCTCTCGATCAACCAGTTTCCGCTTGCTCCGAGGAATGTGCACCAGGTGGACAAGCTTCCAGCCTGGATGGCAGCAAGTGGCTCAGTGGAGGGTATGAGGACCTTGTTGGAGTCAGTGACATCCTTTCCTTTCCATGAAGAGAGCTTGTTGGTCTTAGAGTCAGGTCTGGGAAAGCTCAGCTCAACCATCTGAATGTCGCTGCCAACAGCCGCAAGGGAGAAGAGGCGAACACCCTTGCTATGGTCGATGTATGGAATGGTAGCAGCATAACTGAGACTGCTTCCATCACTTCCAAAGACCATCTTCGCTTTCATCGCGCTCGAAGTCGCATTGCAATAGGCAGGGTCGGTGGCACCCTTGCCGCAGCCGGTGTACATTGCGACCTGGTAGCTGAGAGGCTCCAAACCGTTGTCGGTATCATCTTTTGAGAAGGACCCATCACTGTATCCGAAGTTGCAGTTCGTGGTTGCAATTGGCTTTCCAGCGGATGGAGTGCCTGTGGGCGGGGTACATTGCAGGGATGTCAACCAGCACACATCACATTTCCTTGCATCCACCGTGGCGGACAGGATCGCCAAGAGGGCGAGAGCTACACGCATACTTTCTGTTGAACAACTCAAGTTGAAGGAGTTGGAGCTCGCTATCAAGGGAGGGGAGGAGGAGGGAGAGCCTTGGAACCTGCGAGGGGAGAGGTCCGTGGGGGGTCTTCCGAGGAAAGAGCGATTGGGAGAGGAGGGAGATGGCTGGAAAAACAAGGCGCCAGCGTCTCCTCTACATCCCCTCGCCCCACTACCCACCCACCTTTTACCCCATCCGTTACTACCCCCGTGGCACCCCACCCGTTCTTGGTCACAGCCCCTATAATTAAAGCACCCGTGTCCAACCACCGGTCCTATCAACATGCCGTACACCCTGGTTGTCTCCAGGCTGTTGGGACGTCAGGGGCCCTCCAAAAGTCCACCCCAACCCACCCCTGGTCACGAGCTCTGCCACAATGACCCTACCCCCACTCGAACTTAATGAACCTAACAACGACCCCAGGATTGCCAGTTACTACCGGGAGATCCCACCGTTTGCGAGTTCGATCCCCGATCTGATGGAGAACCCCCCTGGCAAGGAACTGCAAGACTACCCTACCCCCTCATAGACCGGAAGGAACAACCCCCACCCAAATCAGTGGTACCTGCAGTATAGGGCCGGACCCTTACCGCACTGATACAATCGACGGGGCGTAGGTGACTGTCCGAGCAAAAAGATAAGTAATGGAGAAATTTTACTTGAAATTTTGAAAGTTTATATTCAAATTTCAAGAACTGGAGCAGAGCCGGCATTGCGAAAGACTCCTTTTTTTTTTGGTCAACAATTAAAACACTCCTTTTCGACCATGGCTCAAGAGTACCCCTTACTACACCATGAAACTACCCCTATCGATCTAGCCGTGTCTTTTTTAAAAGTTTTTTTGGTTCTTTTTACTCTTTTTCCTACGTCTCCCCATGACTACCTCAAAGACCAGGTTCACCCCACCCCCTTGCCTTATCTTATCAGGGACCCCAAGACATACAAAACAGTACCCTACCCAACTTTTTATACGATTATTTCGCGCAAACTGAGGGTACATGATGACACCCCTCCCCTTCTTTGGGAGGTGAGAGAGACGTTAGGAGGACTACCCCTACCCCTCTTGGGAGCATTTCTCATCCCCCCTCAAATGACTGCCTCAATGCCTCCCTCTACGACTCTCTATCAACCTTTTACTGGAACCCCTCCCCCATCAGTGCCCCTCGTCCCCGCTTTGCCGCCTGATGTCTCCGGCCCCGGCCGGCGGCGCGAGGTCACACCGTGACTGGCCGGGCACCCAACCGTCGGGCCGGGATGCGCGGGCGCGGCGGGGCCCGGGCCGCCGGGCCATCCGATGGCATCTAAAGTCGGAGTTGGCAACCGTGAGCGGCTGGCGGGCCTCCCAGGGGCGGCCCGGCAGCTGACGGTCACGCCGCCGGCCGATTATCTGATCAGCAGACCGCCGGGCCGGCCCCGGCGGGCGGGGCCCGGTCCGATCGGATCCGACGGATCGGCACTGGGCCCGGCCCGCCGGATGATCGGACTGCCCGGCCATACATCCGGCCCACGGTACTACCACTACCGTACTACGGTACCGTGATTACGGGCGGGCCCGGCGGGCTGCCAGACTGCCAGAAGCCGCCGCGGTACGGTAATATAGAGCCCAAGTCAAGTAAGTCTCAAGTTAGATTTTTGTTCAGAGATAGGCTAGTATGATCCGATGATCGCGCGCTTCAAGTTCACTTTCAGTACCCTACCGTGAGTGACTTCATAAACTGGCAACCGTTGAACTTGCCGGCCGCAGTTCGGATGGATCGCCGATGATGCCAACCGTGCCAGTCAGATAGCAACTGGCAAAACTCTCTTGTAGTAACAAAACTCCGAGTCCCAGGCTGTAGTCCCGAGTTAACAAACTCTCCAAGACGATGCCCGATCGTTACGGCGTGACTCCGAACAAGGCGGCCATGTAGTATGATAGTGGGACGATGCAGCCGGGGGTTTTCCCTCGGAGGCTTGTCTGGATGCTTGGGTTCAAGTCACTGGTATCCTAGCACTGGCATACTAGTCTATCTCTCATGTGCTCCTCAATTCTGTTTTTGTGCTTGAGCAATTCAACTTTGGCACAGTACAAGTCTAACGGCAGTGGCAACTAAGTTGCCAGTGCTCCGTCACAATCCATGACGGAATACAAGTTTGTTAGACTTGTACTAGTCCAAAGTCACGCAGATATCACATCGACCTTAATCTCAACAAGACAGTTTTTGCTCAAGACCGAGTTTAATGCACACGAAACCAGAATTGAGGAGCACATGAGAGATAGACTGTATGCTAGGAAGTGAAACCCAAGCATCCAGACATGAGGGGACCTTAGCAAGACGGCTAGGAAGGCCTCCTCTTCGTCACATGTACTACATTGCCGCCTGCCACGTAAGTCGTCTTGGTTTACAGGAGAGTTTTTGTTAACTCGGCGCTATCTGACTGGCACGGCTGGCATACGTTCCATCAATCCATCAGCCCGGGCCGGGCCCGGCGCGGCCCGATGCGGGGGCCATCATGCCAAGTTATCGGACCGCTGGCAGCGACCGTCACGGTCCGGCGGCGGTCATATGAGATCCCGGCAGTGACTCGTGAAGGGCCGGGCGTGGGCCTATCACGCCGGGCCATCGGCGGATCAGTTACTGGAGCCAGGCGCCGCGAGTCGGTACAGCCGGGCTACCCGGCGTCACGTAACCCGACTTGCCGAAAAAGGAAAGTCCCAACAGGCAGTGCTATGCGCGGCAAGGGTACAGGAAGCAAGGAGGAGGGGGCGCGTGCTAGCGTGAGAGAGGGGAGGACAACCAGGGCAAGAACACAGCAAGTGATCCAGGATGAAGAGGTTCACACACCTGAAACACCTGCCCCATCAACCCTCACCCGGGGTACGCCCATGACTTCTGGAGCAGGTGCCAGTCCTGCCATGGGTGGGGTTGTTCTGAATGATTGGCTGAGCAGGCAAGGAGCGTACGGATGCGATGCGCCAGAGAAGATATCGCTCTCGCACGTTCCCTTCCTCAACACCGGCCGACTCGGACTCCTTGTCTCCGAATGTCGGCGGGGCCTTCATTACCCCGCGGTTGCTTTTCAATCGAGGATCGAAACGCTCGCAGGAGGACACGTCTTCTTCCCAGGGGATCAGCAAGAGAGGCAGAACTTCGAATCCATCCAGCTCAAAGGTACGTGAACGACGTGCGAGGAAGAGCGCTGAGGGTTATGTAAGCAGTCCCCCGAGAAAGTTCCTGAGACCCCTCAAATAGCACGAGGGCGAAGCCTGTCCAGCGCCGCTCGATCATTGGATTGGAACAAGAATGAGGTGGAGGACAAGCACACGATAACCTCTGTGCCGGCCAACAAGTTCTATGGCGTGTCCAAGGACGAGGATCTGAAGAGCACTTCGTTCCTTGTGGAGATCGATGGAGTTTTCCTTCGCAACGAGATTTATCGGGAGATCATGGAGAAGGTGATGGAGGCGATGATGATCTGGAAGGGTCCTGACTTCCTTGCCGTCCTCAGGAGCAAGAATTGGTGAAACAGCGAGCAAAGGTTGAAGAACTCAACAAGAAGGTCTCGGCCGTCAAGGACGGCAAAACCAAGGTACAAGTTCGTCAAGTGCTTGTCGGGGAAGTTTAACGTACACCAGAACAAGAAGTTGAAGTCTATGCTTGCGGCTGTCAGACTGCAGGTTGCGACGCGATGGCTCAGATGACGTGATGATGTTTGACGGCTGAGCAGGAGAATCGCCTCATGGCGATGGAGGAGCGGATGGAGACGTTGGACATTATCAAATCGACGATCTACATTGCTCCTGGAGGAAAAGCTGTCCAGGTGCGACCCATGATGCAGTCTATTTCTTCTGTTTGTCCTTTGACTGCCACTAGCTCACGCCCTCTGGCGTTGTGGCCGGCCTGGGGAGTTTTCCAACTGTCAGTGCCAAGTGCTTGATCCCGAGGGTTTTCCATCAGAGGAGACTGAAGGAAAGCGAATCGTCGCAAGAGCAGGTCCAATAAGAATAACAAGAAATGATGTGATCATGGAACTGAAATCTGTGACGAGCAGGAGGTCTTCAACTCCAAAGTGCTCTCGAGCGATTACCAGCGAGGCTCGTGGATGTTGCAGAAAGTTGACATTCCCAAACCCATCGTCTTGAGTCAGGCGTGAGAGGCGCGATGCGCTTCTAGTTAGATATCTCGAACGTTCACACTAACTTCGGCCATGCGCCTGAGCTCTGTTTGCGAGTGTTTCTTTAACTTGTGCGAAACTTTTGGAAGGAAGATTATTCGGGTCTTAAGGAAAGGGACTCAATGAGCCATGAGAGGCTCTCCGATTCTCGGACCAATAAAAACCGAAGTGTAACCGTTGAGTTGGTCATGGAGTTCGAAATCTCAACATCCTGTCAGACAGCACAGGTTTCACAACTAGCACTCCCTCCCCTCCCCGTCCTCCCCCTCCTCCCGCTTCTCCCTCTCCTCTCCTTCCGCCACTCCCACTCCTTTCCTTTTTCAACACCTCACCCCCCCCTCCCCTTCCTACCTTCCTACCTGCAATGCGTATGAAATTTCCCCACAAGTCTGAATGAACGCTTCCCCTGCGAAGATGAACTCGTCGGGATACGACACGAGAATCTGCCCAAGGCATCCGTCAGCACTGAGTTCAACACTCGACAAGTACATCTTGGCGGAACGTAAATGAGAGGGTGAGAAAGTATCTCTCACGTTGAACCCCGTCGATCGGAAAAAACGAGACAAATCCGTTGCTGTGAGCTTGCCAAGGGGGTTGCTGCTGCTGCTGAAACGGATCGCAATGGCGCATCCGTTGTCCACCGAAGGAACATCATTGATCATAAGCGCGTTGACAACCTGCAGGAGGACAAGAACATCAATCGAAGACATTCTTGCTGTTCATGTAGCTTGCTGCTGTTGCTCCTCCTCCTCCCCCTCCTCTTCCCTCCCTCGCCCCCTCGCCCCCTCGCCCCCTCGCTCCTCCTGCTAGTCGGTGGCACCACCACCATTGCTCTCATCCCCATCATCCCCATCACCGTCGCGATCACATCTCGAGGCTCCATCGACGCGTCCGGCATGATTCTATCCGCAATCCCAGCCTCCCCGGTGACCTTCACGCACTTCATCACCCAGGCGCGGCATGCTGCCAACAAGAGCGCTACCGCATTTCGCATCCTCAGCTCCGAGTACATGAGCTCGTTCCAGTTCTCCATGAACTCCTTCTCGACCTGTCGCGTCTCAGGAGCAGCAAGGAAGGGAGCAGGGCAGCACGCGACCGGGTTCAGCATGCTCATCCCTTCATCTCCTGGGAGCGCATCCTCGTCCTCCGGGTTCATCTGAGCCTCAAGCCTCACTGTGCTCCTTGAGCACATGGGGGAGCTTACCTTCATCCGCAGGTTCAGCACACGGGGACGGCGGAGGCATCTCTGAGGATTAGAGGACGGCGTCAGGTTCCTCGTCTCCTCCCTCCTCCCCTCCCCTCCCCTCCCCTCCCCTCCCCTCCACAACCTGTTGGCAGAGAGCAGGAGCACTTGCTTCGTGTCTGTGATAACGCAATGGAGCAGGAGAGTAGAACCCGTCGCTGACAGCCAGGGCCAGGAGCAAGATGATCGAGTGTTTCCAGCCAGCCATGGGGGGGCTGTAGACGTCAAGGTTAGAAGCTACATGAGTCCAAGAAGCGCTCTGCCATTGCTTCTCTGCCACTCTCTCTCTGCCTTCTCTTTCCTGCTCTTCGGTCACTCCCTGACTGAGCTCACGCTCTCTGCGCGGTCCTAACCTTCACTCTTGTTCCGTCACCACCTCCTCCACCTGGTCATGTATTCCTCCTCTTCCTCTCCTTCCCTCCCGCCCTTCCCTCTCGATCTCTCCCTGTCTTCCTCCATGATCTCTGCATATCCCTCTCCTCTTCCTCTGCCTCGTCTCCTCCTCGGCTGCATCGTTAGTCCTCTCCGCACATAGAGCATCCAGTCGGCCATTCTCAGAACCCCCTCCTACGTACCTTACCCCACCGACTTGTAACCCTTCCTAAAAATCTGTAACCCCTACTTTCTACTACAATTAGGCGGGTTCTCATAACAAAACATAGTACCCCCTACCCCCTGCACTTGCAGGATAACCCCTAAATCCATTTGATTGGACGCAATGGCGCGAATGGAGAAGAAGGGGAGTTAAGACTCGCGGATGAGAAGAGGGAGGAGAGGAGAAGAATGCAAAGTAGCGCAATAACGACAAGAGCACGAGCTGCTTTACTGTACAGGATCCTCTCAAGAGTTTGTGTATGCTACAATTGATCATGCTTGCTATGTCAGGACGTCCGCTGCCCGGGATCTTTCGGAGTGGGAGGCCTTCTGCGCAAGGACATCACGGACGAACTGTGCGATAATTCGGCGAGCATGCTTCACCTGCGAGATAAGAATGAAAACCTTGATAAGGAGCGGAAGCTTTCTCACAAACCCTCACCTCAGTTGAGTCCGTAGGGAGTTCAGGATGGGTCCAGAAATGGTGCGACGCCCCCTTGACCATGACAGTCTGCACGTAGGCGTTCGACGGGTGGAGCATGGACTGAGACTTCCATGGGTCCGCTCCGCCATTGACGAAGATGATGTTGTAAGACTGGAGATTCAGCCCCCCGTACTCATTGTTGGACTCTCGGACGAACTCAGCGGTCTTTTCGAAGCTCATGTTGAAGACAACCTTGCACATGTCCGTGGAGAAGTACACGTTGTTCAGGTGAGGACTTGACACGAAGGGGCAGCGAGAGTCGGGATCGCATGTCTGATAGAACCCGAACTCAGTGCAGGTCTGATAGAACCACGTTCTGTCAGTCCTGTCCTCGCTGATCTTTATATCTTGCAACCCAGCAAGCATCATCTGATAGTCTGTGTCAAGGCAAGAACCGTCTCGCACGCTGTCCATCATCGCAACGAGCCTGTCCAGCGGCTTCCCAAGGCTCTGATCCGTCAGGAACTTACATTGCCGCCTGATGTCGCAGAGGGGGGAGGTGCAACTGGGGTCGTTGGACTGAGGGATGAGCGGGTCGCTCAGCGTTTCTGCGAACAATGCTCGATTCTTGATGTCTTCTAGAACATCGTCCCCTCCGCAGACGGAGAATCTTGTCTTGAGATACCTCCTGCCCTCGTAGCTCAACAGATATTCTCCTACCTGCGCAAAGGCCCCTTTGATGGTGTTCAAGCACAGCATGGATCCTCCCAGCGTCTCGTCGGCAAAGTCACTCGCAACGACGTTGTTGTAGCCTTTCATGTTGAGTATGGCCTGAACAGGCGCCGAGGAGGACACCGCGGCATGAAAGAGATGTGGGAATTTCGCATGGCTCCATGCCGCTAGCATTCCTGGGTAACTTCCTCCGAACGTGATCCATCGTTGCTTGGACGAGATCGCAAATGCGCTCCTGATGTGCGAATGAAAAGAAGCGATGTCTTCTAAAGCTTGTCTGCTCGAAAGAAACCTCATGTTTTCAACGGACAAGTCTTTCCGTGGATGCGACTCGCCATAGTAACGATGTTCCAACGCCAAGATGAGCGCGCCATGAATTCTCGCCAGGTGGACCATAAGAGCGCAATGGTTCTCCCCTGTTACAACCACCTGCTCCGTCATGGGTGGCCCTTCTCCTCCTACGCAGAGGAAGACAGGACCGGATCCCATGCGGAAGAACGTCTCGTTCACAAAGTACCGTTGCATCCAAGTTTCCGGGCTGTCGGAGAAATGGTCTACCCGCTGCGAGAACCAGCGGGAGTTGTTGCCATCCATCGAGGTAGCATGGTGTCTGTCTCGTTGACCCACTCGGAGCTCACGGTATGGACGAGCCGGCATGGCGAACGCCCCCGCACATACCACAGCAAGCAAGCTCCCTGCTAGAGCAAGGGAGGGCATTGCGCTTGATTAATATTTGTATAACGATATACATAATTATACAGTAGAAGATATAACGTTCGTTACTAGACGGTTACATGGTGACACTTGAAGATGCTGGCTGTAGAAGAGGCGGATATGAGAGGGGGCGAGGGAGACGAGACGGATAGCATGGCATGATATGAAACATTGATCGGGTTGATGATCAGAACAGGTTATGGATATGCTCACACAGATGAGAGTGTGAAAAGAGTCAGAGGTTGCGGAAGCAAGAGGCCGGGGTCAGCATGGGTTTGTAGAGTGCTAGAGTTAGAAAACTTCCTTTCACTGTTTGCTACATCCAGCTTGTTCTTCTTGCTCTGATTTCTATCTCCATGCTCCTTCTGTGTTTGCTGCCGCGCACTCGTTGCTGATGGTGAGCCAATGGGTGGAGGAAAGTGATACGATGCCCGCAGGTACCTCGATAAGTTTTGAGACTTCCTCGAATCATGGTCTTCGCTGCCCCAGCCTTGCTCTTAGCTGGTTTTGTTCCCATCGCTGCGATGTTGTACATGCAGTTAGAACACGATACTCGCGGGTTCTCGGAAATTCCGTCGCCATATGAAGCCGATGCTGAGAGGAAACGGAAAATGCTTGAAGAGCGATCGAAAGAGGACAAGTTCTAACTGTGCTTGCCACTGCAACGATGGACGCGGTTTTGTGATTTTACGTACCATGTTTAAGGTTTACACTGAGTGTGTGAGAGAAGTTTGTTCATGCATGTGGCGAGAAGGCAAGTTGAGGAGCTACAGTCTTGAGTAGCCGTCACCGCCCTTGATTTTGCTCTGATAGCCCTCGGCATCGTGCTGTCCTGGCGCAGCAGTGATGTGGTATCTGAGGGGCACAGAAGGAGATCAGAGCTTGTAAGAGGACGCGAAGAGGAGGAGGAGAAGTCACTTACAGATCGGGAACGTGCTCGTCGAATAAGAATAAATAATTGTACACCAACCCCGTCACGATGCCAGCTGAAAGCTCAAGTCAGCTGCTATGCAGTGCGACGGAACCTACTGCACCTAGCAGGGTGGCCGCCAAGGGAGCAAAGAGATACTCATAGCTCCCCTTAACAACGGCAGGAGCCAAAGATCTCGCTGGGCTCATGCTCGCTGACGAAGAAAAGGTTCAGTTGGGCACGTTCTCTCCGTCACGTAGGGTTCTCCTTACCTCCAGTCCCAGGTCCTTCTGCAAAGACACCGACTATCATGGCAAAACCGATTGCAAGAGGAGCTAGGTTGTGCGCCTATCGAACCAACTTGTCACATCTCGATCCTCCTCCGAGATTGTAACTCACCTTGCCATGGGGATCAACAGAAGTTCCGTAGAACACCCAGACCAGAGCCGAGGTACAGAAGAACTCCATGAGGAACACTGCCATTGCGCATTAACTGCAGATACAAGGGGCAAGCAGGCTTCCACTCACCAGAGAGGCCGTGCGAGCCAGTCAGGGTCCCACGAGCCATGAAGAGGCTGTAGTAGACAAGAGGATCGACAGGGTTGCAGCCGTCAGGATTGTTGCAGGGCGGGGTGTCCATCGGGATGAGGAAAACCACCATGAACATGCCGATGATGGAGCCGATGATCTGTGCTGTGATGTACATGCAGCACAGAACCCAGTCAATGTTGTACCCCTTGGGTTGTGTAACGAGGAGGGAAACAGTCACAGCGGGGTTCAGATGCCCAACACTGATGCCGCGCAGCGCAAACGATATGACCATGTAGCTGAAGCCAATACCAAGCGCAGCAGCAGCTAGGCCATATTTGACGCTGGACAAGGCGGCAACTCCGGCAAGGAACTGAAACAGGAGGGAGCCGGTGAATTCAGCGGCCACCTTGCGTTGATACTGGCGGCTGGTCAACTCAGGCTCGGGCTGCGATGACATGTCTCTTCGATCAGCTTTACTTCCCCGTCATCTCTCTGGACCTAACAGAGACAAGTCAAAACCATCATCCTGTGCAAATTGCTCAGGGAGCGCAAAGCCACAGAAGAGTGTAGGTAACAGAGCAGATAATCAGGGCAAAATTAAGACATTGATGTCCAGAGCAATATGAGGGAAAGTAAACAAGACAAATACTTTCTCAACCTTGCAATGACAAAATGTGTGGTAAAACACAAGAAGAAGTGCAAGGAAGGCAAGGAAGTTCCAAACAACGTAGAGTGGACGGTGAATGAAGAAGCGAGCACGTCTAGGCTAGAGCAACAAAAGATAGAATAGACGATGGGGTGAGAGAAGGGGAGGCGGAAGGTGATTGGTTAGGAAGCAATGTGGAGAAGGGAGGAATGTTTGGAAGAGGAACGGGAACGAGATAAAGGGAGGAAAGGGTGAAATACAGCAGGGGATGAGGGGATGGATAGGTATAGTGAAGTGGAGAAGGGAAGTGGGTTGAATAAGTTGTTGGAGTTGAGGTCGAGGGGAAGGCGAGGGAAGTGAGAGGAGAATGAGGGTGAGGAAGGAAAAGAAGCCAAGAGACCAAGAGAGACAAGGGAACAGGGGTAGGTGATAGGGATGAGAGGAGGAGAGGAGGCAGAAAAGGAGGAGGATGAAATGAGGAGGAGAGGAGAGGATGAGAGGAGGACGAGGGGAGGAGGAGAGGAGGAGAGGAGGAGAGGAGGAGAGGAGGAGAGGAGGAGAGGAGGAGAGGAGGAGAGGATAGCGTGAGCGAAGGACTTCATAGTTAGAGGAAGCGCTATTCAACACAAGCCATCATCGCATCCCAAAGGACAGATTGCATAACCCTCATAACCCACCCGGAACTTACCGGCGCACCCGGCCCCGTTTGCCGGGCCGATACCACGGTGTGACTGTACACTGGGTACCGTAGTCACGGTACGGCTGACGGTCACTGAGCCTCCGGGCCCGGGCCGGGACTCCGCCGGGAGCCGCTCCGAGAGCAGTGAGATTCCCAGAACCGTCTTTACTCAAAGTTGCCTGAGTCAAAGCCTTCATCAGCAAAACTGACAGTCCCGGGCGCCGGGCACCGTCACCTGCGGCCCGGCCGCTGCCACGGGTACTCTTCGGAACGGGCCGGGCCGGGCGACCCTGGCAGTCCGCCGGACTCCCGGGGCTCGGACCGGACGGTCTCTGAAGTGAGAGAATTATTATTACTGGTGAAGGTGATTGAATGCCGTTTTGCAATGATAGTTGCGACTCTTCCTTGGCCCCCACCCCACCCCTTTCATATCTTATTCCTCTCGGGTAAAATGACCGGTAGTAAGGACTTGGTTGCGCTGGCAAAGGTTACCCCACCCCCAGTCTTTACGTGCTTGACCATTGTTGGAAGTACCCCACCCCTATTTATACCTGAAACCACCCACCGTTTGCTATTGACCCACCGCCCTGGGGAGACTGGCATCCCCCTAAAATGCTGGCCTTATACCTTATAAACACTTTGGTAAAACACAATTGTACCCCTCAGATTCCCATGTGAAGTACCGGTACCATCCTCCCCTCCCCCTGCTATATAATCCAGAGGATCTCCCCGAAGAGCTTACGACAGTCCGCCATGACGATCAAGCTTACCTACTTCAACCTTAGAGGTCTCGCCGAGCACACTCGCTACATGCTCCACATCGCTGGAGTCGAGTACGAGGATAACCGCTACCCGATCGATGTGGCTAATGGCTTCAAGCGCCCTGAGTTCGACGCTGACCAGGCCAAGGGTGTCTTCGACATGAACATGGGCCGCATCCCCCTCCTCGAGATCGATGGACAAGTCATTGGTCAGTCCCGCCCCATCGCCAGATATGTTGCCCGCAAGTACGGTTTCATGGGTGACAACGACATCGAGGCTGCCCAGGTTGACGCCGCCTTCGAGCACGTTAAGGACATCGTCGATGCCTACCAGAAGCCCAGGAGCATCACCGACGAGGCCGCCAAGAAGGAGGCCATCGAGAAGTGGTTTTCCACTGATCTCCCCACTGTAAGCTTGTTCCACACGCTTCAAGTTTGTTATGGTGACATTATCGCAGTGGTACGGAAAGCTCGAGAAGTCGCTTGCCTTGACCTCCAAGAAGGATGGATGCGCTGTTGGAAGCAAGCTCTCTCTTGCTGACATTGGAATCTACTACCTTGCCATCTTCTTCTTTGACGACAAGGCTGCCAACAAGGCTGCTTGGGTAATATTCATCTGCCTTAGAACAACGAAGTGGTTACTTTTATGTGTTTGCAGGAGAAGTGCCCCAAGATGAAGGCTGTGGTTGAGGCTGTTGCCAACCACCCCAAGGTGAAGGAGTGGGAGGCCAAGCGCCCTGACACCGTCATGTAAACCTCATGTATTTCTTAAAAGGAGTCTAGTGAAAAGTTTGGGTCATTTTTGGTTGGTTGATCAATAAAGTTACTGTGAATGAGCTATCGAGTTACCACATCTGAGTACGACCATGCTTTCTTCCAAGACATTTGGCACTAGATCTTTCAACGTGTTTCTCTCCTTAACCATGTGGAACAGTTGTAAGAACGCTTGCGCACTTACTTTGAAAATTTAATTTCAGCAGGTTCCACACGCGCAATAGCTGTTTACGCTTTTCCAAGCATGTCAAAGAACACCCGATGACCTCGCAATACTCTTTAGATCCTTCCAAAGTTTCTGTTATCTTCTCCGATGTACTTCTTGATTTCCTGCTCCGTACGCTTCAGGGGCAGGAGAACCTGGCAAAGGGAAATTAGGCTTTGACTGTTAGCCCTCAACGAAGACAACCTTGTCAATCAATCCATATTCTACGGCCTCAGGAGCAGTCAGGTAGAGATCGCGGGTCAGGTCATTTCGAATATCCTCGTATTTCCGGCCAGTAAATCTTGAAAGTCCCTGTAGGGCTGAAGTTACAATACAATGTACGATTCCTATTCTCATCCATGATTCGAACACACCTTGAACACCTTCTCACGCATTCGTAGAATCTCGGTCGCCTCGATCGATACGTCAGATGCTTGTCCATACAACACCTGTCGGCCCTCAAATGTCGAAGACAAACACCTCCACGGTTCCACCACTATCCCTTACCTGGGAGAGTCCCATATCCTCAAGCTTGGGATTCTGAAGGAGGAAGCGAGCGTTAGGCAAGGCCATTCGCTGTCCCTTCTTTCCGGCACCGCAGAGGAAGGCACTGAGGGAAGAACTGTCAAGACGTACATACAAATTGCGTGGTAACTTTCCTGATGGAGGCTGCGATCCCCAGGTTGAGGGTCGTGACGTCAAAGTCCATGTTGTTCATGGTGTCATAAACTGCAAGTCCAGCACGGACCTGTCGCATACAATCATCGCTGAGTGTAAATACTGCAGATTCCCAGCAAGGCTGACTACCTCTCCGCCAGGACAGTTGAAGTACATCTGCACTCCTTGGGTAGCATCCTCGTTGTTCAGCCAGAGCAAAACCGCAATCATCTAATCCCAGAATCACAACTTTGACTCTGCATGCCAGAGAAAGCCAACCTGGTTGGCGAACTCATCGTCGAGATCTTGTCCGATATATAGAATGCGCTCTCTGTACATGCGATTCCAGATATCCATGAACTAGAGGAGACAACAATTTCAGAGCTGGTAGACCTCTAAACTCTAAGAATGGTGAGCTCGGTATTGAAAGCTTTCAATGCGCTGTTCTCAATCTTCTATCGGCAACCTCGCCCCCTCCTTGCCTCCTCTTCGCCCCCTCACCCTATCCCCTCCATCCCACCCTCCCTTCACCGTCACCTGCTTCATCCCCTCCCTCACTCCCTCCCTCATCCCCCCTCCGTGTATCTCTTTCCTCGCTGTATCTCTCTCCTCGTCCCAACAAGCACTTGCCTGGTAGACTTGATCCCCCGGCGCTTTATATGGCACACGCGGTACATTGGAACCTCCCATCCTGAGCCCACCAGCTGCGTTTCTTCGGAATCCGCGCAGGCTGGAGGGTACTGGTGTCGAGGGAGCTCTAGGATTAGCTAGGAGTCCAGGGGAGGAGGAGGGTGGGGCCATGAAGGCGTAGGCGCCGGTTGCCGCCATCATGGCAAGCAGGCATCGAGCGGCCATGGCTGAGCTGTTTGTGGTGGGGTGGTGGAAGTCCTGAAAAGGGGGTGGGGTGCTTGAGAAGTAACAAATACAGGGTACTAAGTTTTAGTTAATCTACCGTAAAATCATTTACTTAACCAGCCATCCGGCAGTTATGAGAGTTACATAACAGTTATTAGACGTTACAATTCACGTTACCGGTGACACGAGAGCAGTTTTATGTTCCCGCCGTTCAACCCGAGGGGCAGCTGCAAATGGTGGCCAGAGAGTCGCAAGGAGGAGAGGAGAGGAGAGAGGGAGGGAGGGAGGGAGGGAGGGAGGAGAGGAGGGAGCAAGAGGAGTGAATGAGAAACTTGGATTGATTGGTAGCATGTAACTCATTGCCGATTCCCGCCTTTGTTGTACGACGTTGCTAGTGTTTTCTCAGTCGCTCAACCCTCCTGCTTGTCAGTCCAAAGGTGTCATGCAATGTTGAGTTGCCATAGGAATACCTTGCTGTGACGAGCCTCCAGCAATCTTGATCATGATTTGTAACTCCATGTGTGTGAAATGGTTGTATCCTAGTATCAAGATCCTAGGGCTGTGTTTTTTGAAGGGACGGATTCGCTGTCAAGTCATGGATTTTGATCCTGTAAAGAGGCTCTCTGACATGTCCTGGCAGGGCGATGAAGGAAAAGCACTTTTCCGACGGCAAGTACACAGGCGATCTTAAGAATGGCAAGAGGGATGGCGATGGTACTCAAGAGTATTCCTGGGGAGGGGTGTATACCGGGAGCTGGAAGGGGGACAAGAAGAACGGACGGGGGAAGATGGAGGAGAAGTGGGGAGGAACTTACGAGGGTGAATGGAAGGACGACAAAAAGGAGGGGAGGGGGCTGAACACATGGAGCAACGGACGTATCTACGAGGGGGAATGGAAAGATGACGAGATTACCGGACAGGGGAGATGGCTATGGCCGGACGGGCGGTGCTTTCAAGGGAAGTTTGTGAGCGACTGTCCGATCGAAGGAGTGCTCTTCGATGCAGATGAGAAGATCTACCGAGTGACGTACGACTCTAAGGTTGACATTGCAGACCCTGCCCTGGCTCCAGTGTCGAAGAGTCTGGTCACCTCAGAGGACGGGGAGAAGTTCAAGTCGTTGGTGAGCGCATGGTCGAAGAAGTTTCGGGTGATGGAGTCTATCCCGGAGCTGCAGAAGCAGGTGGCTGAGATGAAGAAGTCGCACGCGGAGCTGGAGGCGCAGGAGAAGAACTTGAACAAGGAGGCGGAGGTGGCAAAGAAGGAGATGGAGGAGACGCAGAAGCTTCACGACATCTCGGCCATGGAGGCGAAGGCAGCAGAGGAGCGAGCGAAGGAGCTCGAGAAAGCAGCGAAGGAGGCGAGAGACGTCGCGAACAAGGCGCAGACGCTGGCGAAAGAGCGAGAAGGCCTGGCAAAGAAGGCGAAGCAGAGGAACGAGGATGCGAACGCACAGTCGTCCAAAGCGTCGAAGGAAGCAGCGGAAACGAAGAAGAAGCTGAGCTCTCTAGAGGAAGAGCTTCGACAGTCCGAGAAGGTCCTGGAGACAGCCAAGGAGCTGGAGGGGTTCGTGATCTGACCTGCTCCGTCACGTGCTGTCTCCTCCGCTTCGTCTTGTGCTTATTATTTATGTCGAGGTTTCAGAAAGTATCGAAAGATGGCGAGTACTTACATGTGCCGTGCGATGGTAACTGATCGCATGCTCGTGTGTTGAAGAAAAACGTCTTATCGTGCAGTGAAGGGTGTTCACCTTTACCTACACTTGCTCATGCTCGCCTCTCCTCTCTCTCCTCCCACCGCTCCTCCCTCCTCTCCTCTCCTCTCCTCTCCTTCACCAGGGTTACAGCACTTGCTCTATCTCTGGGTCGACTCCTACAACCACTCGACTATGTCCTCAATCTTGTCCGATTTCTTCTCCTTGAAGATCATCCCGCCCTGCTGATCCGCTCGATCCTCCGGGAAGTATGCGGCTCCCTCGACGTTCTCGTAGCCGATCTGAAGCTCGTCAGGAGGGCAAGGAGGGGAAGGAATCGGAGAAGAGGGAGGAGGAGCGTGAAGGAGATGGAGGATTGACGAGAGAAGGGGAGAGGGAGCAGCAGTGGGATGCGAGGAGAGGGGAAGGCAAAAGGCAATGGAGAAGGCAGGAGGCAGGAGGAGAGTGGGGGAGGCAGGAGGAGAGCGATGGGGAGGGAAGGGGAGAAGAAGGTGGAAGATAGAGGAGGAACAGGGCAGACAGTAGCAGGAAGGAGGGAGGATGTAGTTTATCGTCACCACTCTCACGATCCCCGACTCAAGGCCGCACTCGAGCTCGTAGCCCTCGATGATGACGTATCCTCGCGGCTCATTGGGCAGGAAGGGATCAAAATTGTCCATGACGATTTCCTGCTGCGGCTTCAACACCAGCACCAGAAGAGTGGAGGAGAGGAGGAGCAGCCCCAGGGTGAAGGAGAGGAGAAGGAGAAGAGGAGAGGGAGAAAGAGTCATCTTACATCGAGGTCACCCGGCATGGTGGCCTTGAGTCCGAACGCGGAGTTGAAGAAGAAGAGCTCGCCGTCGAGAGCAGTTCGGATGTTTTTGGCCTGGCGGAAACCTGAAGAAGACCATGAGGGCGAGAGGGGGGAGGGGGCAGGGAAGGAGGGACGGGACGGAGGGAGGCAGGCAGGGAGGAGGAAGGAGGAAGGAGGGACGGGACGGAGGGAGGCGAGGCGAGGGAGG